ATACTACAAGACATGATTAAAAATGATTGGAAGATTTTTCAAATTGAACAATTATTTTGATTTTTACTTGATAAAATCATAAAGATTTTAAGAAATTCAATTTGCATTCTAAATTCACTCACATTTTTTTAATATATCAAAAATTAAAACTCCGACATACAAATCATTCTATTTAAATTTTAAACAGTAAACAAGGAGTAATTATGCTCTACTGATTTGCTTGAAAAAACAAAAAATGTGATAAGCATATTGTGGGGTTAAAAAAAACAAAAACATTTAGAAAAAATGGCCAATAAAGATCAAATCAATAATAAAATTATTGGCAATTACACACGTAAAGAAAACTGAATTATCAAATACATTTCCGAGTTTCTCTTGACTGCTAAATGATAAAGCTAGGGTTTAGGAATGGAAATCCGGGAAAATAAAAAATTGTTCTAAAAGTGCTTTTCATTGAGTTTTTTTGGTGTTTTTTTTTAACCATCACATGCCCCAAAAAACGGAGCAAATAACGTTGTTTCACAATCAAGGTGTGTATTTTTTTTTTCTGACCTTTTTCTTTCCAAGTTGTTATTTCGGTCGATGCAATCTCGGTGTTGGATATAATCCGTGTGGCTCTTGTTTCCATTTAAACAAATTGTGAGGCATCGTGGTGGAATCAGGCTCTCGTCAAAATAAACTTGCCTTTTTCCGCAGGTTTGTGAATTTTTATAAATTTTTATTTTTGGGTTTGACACCTTTCATGCCCATTAAAAAACTAATTTCTGCGTGGAATTTTCCTTAAAAACGTTGATTAAAAGCACAAAAAATGTAAATTTTCAGTTACCACTGACTCTTAAGCTAAGGAAATAACTAATCTTTGGCGGCTATTTTCCCACTAATTTTGTCTCTGAAAACAGGTGACCCCACCTCCTTCATTTGCAAATATCTCGACTTGTATTCAAGATGTATGGATATTTTTTTAATCCAAAAAAAGACAAGTGAACAATCTTTAAGATGGTACCAATAACTCTATATGCTCAAAAATTGACGAGAGCCTGATTCCACCACGCTGCCTCACAAATTTATCAACTTAATCTTGGGCCTGACATTTTACATGAATCTTTATACTGACAAGTTGAGTTATTTTTAGGAGAGCCTAGTTGTGATTTGTATAGCTGGAAACAGCCTCATTTCATTGTTTTTAAAATCAAAATTTCTTGAGTTAATATTTATGTCGTCGTAGTCGTAGCAATCTTGGTGTTTTATATCAATTATGATGTAACGTTTTATTTGTAACAACCAACACGTAATTTCTATCTTTCAACCTGTTTGTGCAACTTTATAAGATATTTTGTACTAACTTTACACTAGACAAGCCTAGTGGTAGTACTACTAGTCATTTGTGATTGGTGTGATCTCACTCAGTGTTAACTGGAATTAGCCATGTATTCTGTTACGTCAAAATTTTTGTAGTAAATTGCTGTTCGTTCCCCTTCTCATTCTCTGTGTTGACATCTTCATCATAATTATCATGTCTGTCGTATTATTGTCAAAATAGTTTTCTAGATTTGTTATTCTTATTTTTCTATAATATACTCACAGGACAAAAGCCTTGCCAGTATTTCCTTTGACTTATAATTTTGCCCAAAAAAACCCCCAAAACAACCGCTTTACCGTGAGAATCTTACTAGACAATATAGATCAAAGACACAGCATATTATGCCAATTTGAAGTTTGCAAGGACACTCAAGCTTTGGACGTAAACAAATTTAGTTCGTAATCTTCTTGATAGCTTTACCTTTAACACCTGGCTACCCATACCTCCTCCAATTGCACATATTTCGACTTTCATCCAGATTAGATGGGTATTTTTGTAACATTCCAAACAAGACAAATGAACGTGTTTTATGTTTTTACAAATTATAGTCCTTTATGCCAAGATTTTGAAGAGCGTCTGATTTCACCTTATCGCGATATAAAAAATATCATAACCGTTCATGAAATCGCAGTTTTTGTGGTGTGCTGACTTACTTAAAGAGTAAATTCTGAGATTTTAACCCATTGAACACAATAAAAACATCAAATGTATAGTAAAGTGTGTACAATTAATTTATAAAAGAATCAAAGAAATGTTCAACTTGAGGCTTTAGATAGAACTCTGCAATTTGAATAAGTCAATTTCATCCGTCATCTCCATTCATGGGTGGCAAGTAAACAACTCACTCTGTCAACTCGCCTGACATATTTTACTCCTTACTTTTTTGTAGAAACTGGAACAACAACAAGAACGACCGAAAAAAAGCCCAACAGCAACGACTGTTTAAAAAAGATTCAAACAAAATGAAGGGAAACAGACTCTGTTTTTTTTGTTGTATGTTTGTATTGTAATGTTGAGCAGAAATGGGGTGAAGTGTCAGATCACTAACCCCAACAGCCACTCCACCCAGACACTTGGCAACTCACAGTCCACTCCAGGCGACCACCACGAGGTCAAAGGTTACAACACCACAGAAAAAGGTCCGGTAACATAAAAACAATGCGGAGCTGGACACGGCCGGGTATCTCTAAACACCTCCTTGTATCGGAAGACCAGAATCTCGCTTAAAGATCGCTCGTAGACCTTCCTTTTTTGTTTTCTCGATCCCAACCGGTTTGGAAGAACACATGGCTGCCTGAAATATTAACTGCCGATGCTTTTTCTTCGATTTAAGTGTAAAGCCGTTTGTCAAATTCAGGGAGTCGAAATGTTTAGAGAGAAAGAAACCTGCTCGAATGTACTGCTCGAAGTCTCCGTAAGTAGACGGGTTGTTTATCATGCTCTCGAAACTACCAATAATCCGCTATCAATAATGTGATGCTTATCTATCAAATGACTTTACTGTATAGCTAGTTTAGGGACTCACACTGTGGTGTCTGTCAAGAAACACGATATAGCATGTCCCTCACACTCTTGCCACGTCAGGCCCTGACTCCAGCTACACCAGCCCCTCGTTCCTGCCACGTCAAATTCCACTTTCAGCCTGTCTCGAAGGGGTCGTCCCGGTGACGGTACAGATGCACATCAAGGTCACCGTTCTCACCTTGACCCCTCTCGACGTGTTCAGGGTCCGGGTTCCGATCTACGGGAACCACGAGCACTTGGGAGAAGTACAGGTAGGCCAGAATCAGGTCTATGACAATCCCAAAAACCGTAGCCAACGACATGGAAGCAGCAAGAATAGATCTAACAACCAGCCAACCACCCGGTCTCCCCAGTCCGACAGTACAATTAGTATGGTGGTCCACTGCTGGAATAAACGTCCATCATTTCAATTTGGTTTCAGCGGAAATCATTTCTGACCATTTATCTAGTCGGAGCTATAGCAAACTGACATAATGCTTACTTTCTCAAAAATCCCAATGATACATTGAGACTCGCTCAGTCGACTATTAAGAACAGCGAATGCAAAAGCGTTGCTTCTTGCAAAAATCACCTCTTTAGTTCAAACATCTTAGGCCAGAACCCTCGTGTCTTGCCGTGAAGCCCGCCATGTACCCTCACCAGTGGTTCATCGAACTAGGACGACTTCTACTTCGGCTTGGGTTTCTCTCGTTACAGAATTTCTTAGCGAGAAATCTTGACGTTGAGTAGTAGAATTTCTTTGACCGTTTGCACTCGTAGGTGCCCGGCTTGCCCCATCTCCTGCCCCATCTCTTGCCCAGCGCGCTTATCAAGGCAAAGAACATGCCCACCAAAGCTAGATCAAAGCCAATTCCTACAGCGACACGATGTGGCATGATGCTCAGCTCAAAGATGAACCCGTTTATCAAATTCAGGTAGTCGTAATGTTAAGAGAGAAAGATACGCAAGCCTGCAGTATTTCTCAATATATGAACTAAAACTTTAAAATAAACTATGCTAGAAATACCAATAAACTTTGTGAAAAAATAGTTTTCCCCGTCTTATGCATATGTAAATGTTGGAAGTGTCTCACTCGCTCAAAGACCTGAAATCACTGAGTTCTGCTAGACAGATAGATCCCAAACATGGTCCACACCAGAAAAGACATGATTAAGCACATCATTTTAATAGCTTCTTCTAACGCTCCGGAAGGGCCTAAAGGCACAATGGCGTTCATATCTGCGGCAGAGTTTGCGTCAGCCTGTATAGACGGGCACCTCAACGTGTATTGTTTTCTCTTACGACAATAAAAATCGACATGCATTAACCAAAGTGTCTTGCTTTCTCTAACGACAATAACAATCGACATGCATTAACCAAAATGGCTTGCTTTCTCTGATGACAATAAAAATCGACGTGCATTATAACCGAAGCGTTTCTTCAGGACCCATCCCTGTTTAGTGAACTGAGGCTCCGAGACAGAATCGACGCCAGCGCTGCATTCACGCGGATGGTCAACAGAAACACGACGATGACCATGAAGTCCACTAGAGGGGTGACAGTCGAGCCGTTGGGTGGGCGGACGAGGATGGTGAACGTCTGGTACATGCTGGCTCTCACACCTCCGGTTATAGATTGGTATGTTGTTTCAATCTCCTCAAACAGGGCACCTAATGGCTGCCAAAGTACTCTGTGGTTACTCCAGGACACTGTCACTTTTTACGAGTATAACGTAAAACTATTTTCTTTTTCCAATGTAATTACATATCTAATCTAAATTATAATGAACAATATTATGTATTATAATTGGCTAAAGACTGGTCACATACTTGCAGCCTCCACAAATCTCTCTTAGTCGACAATTAAGAACTGCAAATGTAAAAGCGTTGCTTCTTTCAAGCATCACCTAACTTCAAAACTCATTTTATGCCACAGTTGCAATGGCATTAACGAGAAAAAGCAGCAAACGGACTACTATGGAAACTATCTACATGATGCTTGCAAATCCTCACTCATTCTCTCTCACTCCCACCCTCTCCCCCCCTCTCTCTCTTTCTCTCTCTCTCTCTCTCTCTCTCTCTCTCTCTCTCTCTCTCTCTCTCTCTCTCTCTCTCTCCGTCTCTCTCTCACTCTCTTTCGCTGTTTCTCTTTCTTTGCCTCTGTCTCTCTCTCTATCTCTGTCGCTCTCCCTGTCTCTCTGTCTTTCTCTCTCCAAATCTTATATTCGATGTATTACACTCCGCAGAATAAAGCACTTCGCCAAGGTGAAACGACAATTCCCGACAATTAGACTATCTAACAAGTAAATAAGAACGACACTTAGTCTCCCTCGAGGAAAGCTTCAGTGAGGCGAGACACACGTTCTTTTCAAACGATGATAACTGTTGCTCTATTTTAGGTACGTACGTTTTTTTCGTATGTACCCACGGCCCCAAATCTCACGACAAGGATTCGTCGAGCTTTGGGAAAAAGAAGGATTCTTGTGTCGGTTTCACTAACTATCTGACACGCTGATGATAGGCTATTTGATCTTTGATGAGCCTAGAATTGACAGTTGGAGTGAACGTTGTGCCGCAACAGCAACACGTGGGGTTAGGGTCATGCGCCGGACCCACCAAGATTTGGCTGTTCGTATTTTCTGAGCTACCAGCAGGGATCCCACGCCTGTCACGGCAGATCGTGTCTTCAAGTGTTGACGCGTCTAGGGGAGGAACGCCTGGGTACTCTTGGACGCCACAGTGTCGATTGGGGCACACACCGCTAAGTGTCCAGTCCTTCTGAGTCCACGGAACGTTGCTGTGAGGCACAGAATGGTACGAGGGTGGAGCAGCGTCAGTAGAATCAAACCCCGTTTCTCTTCTAATCACTCGATCCGATGTTTTCAAACCAAAGGGAAAACAGCGTGCACAGGCATCGAGCGAGTCAAGTTGGAATACACCGTTGTCAGCGTGGGGTAGAACGTGCCTAGTTGCATGGTACTGTTGACGGCTCAGGGTGTCCCCTGTAACGTGAACGGTTGGATTGTGCCACGATTGCTGAGAGCATTGCGGATAAATCTGCTGAGTGGGGCGTCTGCCAAGATCTGTGGTGCAGACACCAAACGTTGGGTGACTCAGGTCCTGCAAGGAACCAAAAGCACACGGACGGGAGACGGGTCGGGGCGCCGAGTCTTCGACCCCTCCGACACGACCTGGTGAGAAAGGATGTGATGGGTTCGTCCGCGGAAACCCTACATCCCTCAGTCCATGCAAGTAGCGAGGGCCAACACAGTTGCCGTCCAGTTGTGCGGGCTTAAATCTTAAGGACGTGTCTATCCCAATAGAATCCACACTACTTTTGGGTTCGCGTTGGACGTAGGTAGAAGGTGAACAGCTCGAGCTTTGATACGTTGAGGGCGTGAAAAAATGATTGCAGCCCTGCCCGTGATAACCGGACCTGCCACTACGTGCTTGTTCACTGTTCCAGGGAGTTGTGGTGTCTTCTTCTATGAAGAAAGACGTGCAGTTTCCCTGGGTAGGTTTACGGGGAGGGAACGCGCTGTCTCCAGTAGTCTCTGACGTCCGTCCTGGCGTGGCGACTTTGGGACCAGCGCCAAGTGGCGGGCAGTCTGGGGTCGGGAGCGGTAAGTGTGGGGGTGAAGGTCGTTGAGAAGAGAGCGGTCGAGAAGTGAACGGTTGGCAAACAGACGACTTCACTGCTGATGGGGTGGGGAGGGGCAAGTGAGGAGGTGAACCTCTCCGCGCAGCTCTGCCTTGACGAGACAGGTCAAGCAGGGAGCAGTGGCACCGGAAACCGTCCACATCACTTCTGTCGTCTGTGACTGACTCCGAGCTCTTTGGGTTTTCAACATCTATGCTAAACGACGGCAGGTAGTCGCATTTCGTAGCTGAGATAAAATTAAATTTCTCTGTACGCTTAGCCGCTTGGGAGGAAGATGATCTCTCAGTATCTTTTACAGGTATATTTACAGCGGTGGTCCCCGGGAACGTTCGTGTACAGGGTGTCTGGGGGTTTTGTACATAGACAGGGGCCGGTATCTCAACAAGAGCACATTGAGCGGAGGCTTGCCGATCCTCAGTACCCTTTTCTGCCTCACCTTCTGTATTTTGGCTTTTTGTCACTTTTGTGAGTTCCTGGATTTTATCATCAAGGAGATCAGCCTTGTTTGATGTCTTCTCTATTCCTGTAGACAATTTCGTGATCTGGAACAATAAAGAAACGATACAAGACTGTTTTACTTGGCATGAGATGTATGATATTGGAGTGTGTTAGCACATGCAGTGTCGGGTTTTTTTCTGCTGTACTTTTGTGTATAAATTATGTAATGGCTGATGAAGTTTTTCATTATAAGGTTGATGTTTTCTTGTTGTTTCTATTATGTTTCTTCTTTAGTGTATGCGATTTTACTCCAAGTAACCATGTAATCAACGTAAAAGTGATTAGAGCTTATAATTATACGGGATACAACGCTATATAAATGCAACCGATCATCATTATAATGATATCTCTAATGTGCAAACGAAAAGTGTTTCAATAACCAATGGTACTATAAAATATTTTCCCAAAACTTGAACTCAAATTCATAATCTTTGAATTGACCTAAAACACCAGCAGAGATTATCTGAATGAGCTTAGCTGTTCCTGTCTTTTTAATCGGAGACGGACTTAAATTAGGAGTCCCCCCTCCCCCTCTTATGTAACCTAATAGTGTTGATAGGAGCGTTATACAAGCACACCCACTTTACTGATAAAGGTTTCATTTGTGTACTTAAGGCGGCTACGCTAACACAGAAACAGTAAAAAGAAAAACATAAATACATTTTATAATATGAAATGAAAGTAAGGAAGTTGTTATTCTCTCAGATGGAAAGGGCGAAGCCAAAAAGGACTAACCCAAGAAATCTGAATACCAATAGCCTAAAGTACAGTTATCAATTTCGCCACAACTATGTTAGTATTAATAGTAAAACATGCCGTGGTGTTTGTTGTTTCCAGGACTAAAAATGTTGATTTTTTAAAATTATATTTTTTTATGAGGGAGAAGAGGAAACATTTTTAAAAACTGACCTGAACAGGCGTGACGTCACAACATAGGCGGCGCTTCTTGCACGGAGGCTCTTCCCAGCCATCCTCCTGTTGGGCGGAAGAGAAGATGGGCTCTGCGTGTATCTCAATGACCTCTCCTTCACCTGTCCCTGCAGACTTGACCTCAATGACCTCCCCTTGACCTGTCCCACCCGTCCTCGCCTCCTTCAGTCTCCGCTTGAGCTTCACAATGCGCGCCTGTAACTTTACCACACGCTTCGTCTCCTCCTGTTTCGTTGGGAAAAACATTTTTCAAACTTGTTAGAATAATAATATTTTAGTTTAGTTTTAATAAAAGTTTTACGGCACTTGCTACACAATAAGGTCATATAAGTGCCGAAGAATAGATGTGTTACAAGAGAGCAACATACACAAAAAAGAGGGAGGAGAGATAAGGACGATAGATGTTTGATAGGAAAGAAAGAGTAAACCACACTAGAGCGAGCACCCACGAACCACCCACATAACAAAATATATTATCATGTATTTTTAGGAGTCACGACAGGGATAAACATGGTCTCGCAAACAATAAAATGAATAATTCTGCTGCTGCTGATGCTACTACTTACTACTACTAATTAAAACAATGTAATAACAGTGATAATATTTTAAAAAAATATTTTTAAAAACAAAAACAAATTAAAAAATAAATAATAGAATTGATAATAATAGTTGTAGTAATGATAATAATAATAATAATAATAGTAATAATGATAATAATAATAGTTATAATAATAATAATAATAATAATAATAATAATAATAATAATAATAATAATAATAATGATAATAATAATACTATTAACAATAATAAAAATAATAAAACAGGAAAAAGAAAAAGAAGAAGAAGAAGAAGAAGAAGAAGAAGAAGAAGAAGAAGAAGAAGAAGAAGAAGAAGAAGAAGAAGAAGAAGAAGAAGAAGAAGAAGAAGAAGAAGAAGAAGAAGAAGAAGAAGAAGAAGAAGAAGAAGAAGAAGAAGAAAAGAAGAAGAAGAAAAAAAAAAAAAGAAGAAGAAGAAGAAGAAGAAGAAGAAGAAGAAGAAGAAGAAGAAGAAGAAGAAGAAGAAGAAGAGGAGGAGGAGGAGGAGGAGGAGGAGGAGGAGGAGGAGGAGGAGGAGGAGGAGGAGGAGGAGGAGGAAGAAGAAGAAGAAGAAGAAGAAGAAGAAGAAGAAGAAGAAGAAGAAGAAGAAGAAGAAGAAGAAGAAGAAGAAGAAGAAGAAGAAGAAGAAGAAGAGAAGAGGAAGAAGAATGACAACAGCAACAACAACAACAACAACAACAACAACAAGATTTTGAGCACTGGTTCGGCAGTGGCATCTATTTGGGGAGGATTCAATGAGGTTGGACTGCCTCACCCGCTACCCAAGAGAGCCGATGGCCCTGACGAAGAGTTCGCTATTCGGGGCTCCAAATATTTCGAACAGATTGGCTAGCACACACACACACACACACACACACACACACACACACACACACACACACACACACACACACACAGCAACAACAGCAACAACAAAAAAGGAAAAAACCAGAAAGTAAAACAATAAAAGCAAAAACAAAACCAACAACGAAAGTAAGGAAGCTACTCACGCATAGCGCCAATTTCAGTGTGTTGACCTGGTTTTCCAATGAGGACATAGCTCGTGCCTTGTCCTTGACCTCTGACCTCAGGGCTGCTATCTCCGCCTCTTGCTTTATGTCCCTCTTCCCAGTTTTCCTCACTGACCGTGTGTCTGAGTAAGTAGGTATGTATTTTTTTTATTTTGTTTCATTTTATTTCTTAAATCTAATTTAATTTAATATGATTTTATTTTATTGTATTTTACAGTATTTTATTTCATTCAATTTTAAAAAACATCGTAATCTATTTTTTAGTGTTTGAGGCCATTGGATCTGACGATTTTTTAATCGCACTGTGGTTTTATAGCAAAGAACACTAGAGCACACGCCAACCACACACAAAGACAGAACAAAGAAGACCTACCTGAAGCTTTGCTGCACGTCAAGCTACTGCCTCTAGACCACACCCCCTGTGACCTCGCAGTGGTGATTCTCTCTTCCTCTCCGCTCACAGTAGAGGCACAAGTCTCAGGCGCCGTTCGCTGAAAGGTCAAGGCCGATTCAAGACGTGCCTAGTCACCCAAAAAACCCAAAACGATATAAACATAGGTCATTGAGTCACACAATCAGTTAATTGGTTACTTACTTTACTCTACGTTTACTTTATCCGTCTTCTTGTACCTCTAGGGCGTCGAGGGGAGAAAGAGCTTCCTGTCTCTGGCAAGTTTGATGGCCTGGCTGGGTTGGATATTGTATGTTCTCAGTTAATTAGTTAGTGGGCAGAATTATGTTGTTAGTCCTGCTCACTATATCGATTAACGAGAAGGGAGAACATTATTATCGAGTATCACGGTCTTTCTGCTGAACGTTGTGTCATTCTTTCAGCCCCGCTTTGCCTTAACAGGCAGGGTTAGAAGCCAGTATCCTAACTGATCTAATTTGTTTCGATTGGCGCGTAAAAACACCTATAATTAACACCAGCAACACAAATTAAGTCCCGCGGAGAGGAGCCACTGCAATTTTTTTAAAAATCATGACCGGTCACCTCTTTTGGCTGTGGATCTACAAAAATAAAAGTCAACACGTCGGACCCAATCTGTCCATTGGCAGCGAGGAGCCCCAAGATTTGGAGCCCAGGCTGCAGAGATGCCCCGCTACGGAGGTCCTGCGAAAAGGGGGGGGGGGATTCAAGGAGGTTAAACTGCTTCACCCACTACCCAAGAGAGGCGGTGCCCCTGGCGAAGAGCATGCTCTTTTGGGATCCAAACAAATCGGAAAGATAGCCCCCCTCCTCTTACAAACACACACACACACACACACACACACACACACACACACACACACACACACACACACACACACACACACACGCACATATACACACAAAACAACAACAAAGTATTTTCCTCTAGTTCTTATCGCTGCAAATTAAAAAAAACCTGTGCTTTGTACAGATATTTTCTAATGATTTGTAGATAGACTGCCTGTAACCCCAAGAACACTTTTAGCGCTGAAAAAGATCATGCCTGAAGTATAATGACATTTCTAGCGTTTTTTGGGTGATAAATTAGTCTACTGTCAGAATATTGTCGAAGCTCTATTATAGCGCGTTATTTAAGATTTCAAAAGTCATTTTAATATACTTTCTAAGGTGTTCCTTTTTCATATTTTTTTGTTTATCTACCTAAGGCATCCCCACAAAGCGTCATAAAGCTGGCAGCTCAGGAAAGACAAAAAAGAAAGAAATACTCTTTTTCCCCCTTGAAACTTATGTCGTGTTCCAACATAGAAAATAATGCCATTCATATTACAAATGTATCTAATTCAATTGCTTCCTTTGTGCGTGTGTTGTTTTGACTTATTTTATTTAACGAGACTACAACGCATTATTTTTTTAAATTATCATTATTAGTGCAAGCTTGTTCTCTTTGTTAGTTCTTACCTTTATAATGAGCTATTTGTCATGTTTATTCAACTGGAAGTGATACTCTTCACACCACATAACACATTTTAATGTTTTAGTTACTAAAACCCCCCAAAAAGGCTGACAAATTTATAATGTTACCCTTCTCTATAGAAAGAGAGTAGCCCTGAGATCACGTGACAAGCTGGCCAGCTGACCGGAGAGATAAGAGACAAAGGGGCTGTTCCAGATGTCCAGCAAATGTCTCTTCACAAGGAGCGGATCGAGCATGCAGCAAGATTCCCTCTGTAAAGAGAAAAGTGGACAACTGTCAGCCCCAACGCCCAAACTAAACTGGCCTGCAAGTCACTCTTGTAAAGGTTTCGGAGGGGAATATTATCTAGCTCATCGTTGGTTCATTGTTTGTTCGTTTCGATTACCTGTCCTTGACAATGCTTAACCCTTTAAACCATGTTTCTAGACATCGCATAAGACCATTCCTTACCTTCACGAAATTCTAATAATATGAAAACCTATAATTTTTAAAAAACAGAATTTAATGGACAGACATAAAAAAGGATGCCTTTCTTTGCGTTTGGAAAGTTAGGAACCAACATCTTAAAAGAAAAGTTCCTCGCTTTAAAAACACAAACAAAAATCTCTACGCCGCAGGCATCATCTTTTTCTGGGATGGACCTAGACAGCACAAGTATACGAATTACGACACGACGGAATCAGGCGCACGTCATATTTTAGGAATATAGAGTTGTTGATGCATTCTTAATGTGTGTTTATTTGTCTTGCTTTTGATGAAAAAATATACATCTATTGTGAACAGAAGTCGAAATATTTGCTATTGATGGAGGTGGGCGTCGACAGGTGTCTGAGTTGAAATTAAAGTGGAAATTCCTCACAGTTTAGTGGATTTCCAAAGCTTGCGCATCATTGGATATTAAATATTGGTAATTCTTTAAGTGCCTCAAATCAACGTGTATCAGTAAAATCCATACCAAATGTGTTTTTATTTGACCATATATGGTGTTCAGTTAGTGAATGAAAACTTGATATAGAAATTGCCAAATGGGCTGAAACATGTCAGTTTCTCGGATTCCACAATTATGACGAGCGCCTGATTTCCCCCCGACACCACACAACTGACTCACCACCGTGTCTCTCAGCCCCCTGTTCTCCTCGAGCGTCACCGCCAGCGCGTGGTCCAAAATCTCCACCTGCTCCTCACAGACCCCGGCGTCTACAGACTGTTTCTCCACGGGGCGACTCCGATCCTCTGTCTTGATGGTGGTAACGGGAGGATGGGACGAGGAACACCCTTCATCCACCCCACAAGCTGCGATATCGAAAGAAGAATCCAAATCTCCCTTGAGCAGATCCACCAACGGACAACGCTTTGCCTTGGACAATATATTTGAGAGGGAATCAAGAAACGTCGGAATAGGCCACGACAACTCTGTGGTATCTTCAACACGTCTCTGAACATCGGTACACGCTTCTGAGCTAGCTTTGAAATCGAGAGCAACAACAACAACGTCCCGTGCATGTCCACTCACGGCAGCCACTTCTTTCGACTCGGTTTCCTTCACGCTAACGTCATCACCACACAGAGCGAGGACCCGAAGAGACTTGGCGTCTCTAGCTTTTGACAGCAGTCGCTTTCGGTTTTCGTTCTCCTTGTCCTTCTGCAACTTGCTCTGAAGCTTCCTTGCTTTTTTCTTCCACTGTTTAGCCATGCCGTTAAAGATCTCAGCCGTTGAAGCAGATTCCTCCAAAGTGTCAGTTTTTTTGCTCTCAGTAACAACTGTATCCGCTGTATGAATGGCAAATGGAAGCTGATCCCAGACGCCGTTACACGTCCCTGGCGATGACACCATGGAGGTCATGTGACTATTCGCCTCAGCACAAGTGGCTTTAGCGTCGTTGGACGGTAAGCTGAACACTGAAAGCGTGAGAACAGGCATATCATTACTGTAATAAGGGAAACATGGGGAGGGTAGCCAAATATGGGATTCTTCTTAAGAGTAGAAAAGATAGGCTGCGCCGCGATACGTAACTTTTTTGTCTTCTTTATGAGTCTTTACTTACTTTTCATTTTGACGCCGCCCCTCCCACCCCCAAACACCTCTTATATCTTACTGTCTTGTCTGTTTGCTTGTCATTATGTCCTTCTGTTTACTCTCTCTCTCTCTCTCTCTCTCTCTCTCTCTCTCTCTTATTCAAAAATTGTTCTACCTCATCTATGGGAATCTGTTCCTGTCTCTGTGTCTATTTCTTTCACCCCCTCTCTGTCTCTCTCTCTCACTCTCTCTCTCTCTGTCTTTCTCTCTCTTTCTCTCTCTCCCGCTCTCTCTTTCCCCCTCTTTCTCTCTTTCTTTCTCCCCCCCCCTCTCTCTCTCTACTTTTCACCCTCACCCGTTTTTGGAGGGCCTGTTCCTCGTTTTGTTTGGTCCTCTCAGTTATACGCCCTGCTAGACACAGGAGAGGTACCCTCAAAGGAAGGACTCTTTAGGGGGAGATCGGTAACCAGTGAAGGATTCAGACAGATAGGGAACTCAAAGGGAACGACTTCTTTTTTTTTTGCTTGAATTTTGAAAGAAAAAAAGAGAGCGAGGGAAAAATGAGCGTGTGGAGACCAAGGGCTGGAGACGATTCTTGACCGATTTAAAATCGAATAAAGCCGGAAGTTTGAGGGAAATTTCAACAACAAAAAATACATTTAAAAAGCAGAATTAGTCGGGCAGGACATACCAAGAGATTTTAAAGAACTGTGAAACCAACTGTTAAACCAAACACACACACACACACACACACACACACACACACACACACACACACACACACACACACACACACACACACAC